AACCCTTCTGGCGAGATCCAAGTGGTTAGGCATGATAAGGAATACACACCCGGGAGACTTAGTGTTGGTAAACAACATAACCTCACAGAGAAATCATGGCCAAAAGCCATAGTTAGGTAGGTCAATTGTTATTATTATTTGAACACATAGATATTGGTACCAGAGTGCGCCAAATATATATTCGCCACGCAAAACAATGAGAATTTAAAGAGAAGGGAAATGAAAAAAAGTAAGGAGGGTAAAAAAAGAACAATAAGGAAGAGATTTGTGTACGGTAGTGTAATAATAGTAGTGGAATAATGGGGGAACGTAAAGGTACAATCAGAAGAAATCTTTCAGTTAAGGAAGACATAACCACCTTTTTCATGAAGAAAGTAAAAGAAGGTGAGAGCAGGATCGCCATTGGCTTTTATTCTGAGCCATATCTGATAACGTCTACAGCCACTGTGTTGCACCATCTCTCGGACCCCAACCAGGGAGTCGTGAAGGACCAACAGAAACTAGCACTTTGCAGCTTTCTTTCATACCACGACACCATGTCATATACTGACCACCTCTCCGCTTCTTCCAACCAGTCCCAGCGTCGGCAAATAATGCACGACGTAGTAGTAGTAGTAGTAGTAGTATCATTATTATTAGTCGATATAAAATAGTAGTACTAGTAGTTGTAAAAAAGCTAATACTGGTAATATTCACTATACGTGAATTGATCTCATCACTCACTCCAACCCCAGCCCTTACTCAGCTGCCCAGGTACAAACTGTTTTACAACTATCTCCTCACTATCCAGGGTGAGTTCAAGACCAGAGTCCTGCCAGTCTTGTAAAAGTACTCTGCACTTGGAAGGCGCGAAGTACGTGCCATATCCACGGACACTAAGTCCCAACTGATTAAGTGCGAATTGCATGGTTTGGGTATCATCGCACAACAAGACAATATCATCCGCATACTCAAGGTCGAGAAGTCTTTCTCCAGGCAACAGATCCACACCGCAACTACCTACATCCATCAGAGCTGTTTCCAGAATGTCATCAATGGCAAAGTTGAAGAGGAATGGTGAGATTGGGCAACCCTGTCTAATCCCACTTTGAATGGAACAGTGGAAAGAGGTGGTTGTATGCCCTCAATCTGCCTGAGGTATTTGTATATAGGGATTTTAGGATGTTAGTAAACTCAGGCACATCCTTCTTCAATAGGCAATCCCAGAAAACAGTTCTGTCCAATGAGTTGAATGCAACCCTAATGTCAAGAAACACTACGATTGTTGGCCTTTGATAAGTATGGCGGTGTTCTAACATTTGGCGGAGGGTGAATATATGATCAGTACATCCTCAACCAGAACGAATACCAGCCTGCTCCTCGCAAGTCAATCTTTCTCGGGTTTTGAACAACCTACGAAGTATGACGAAAGGCAATAGCTTGGACGCAATCCAAAGTAGACATATCCCCAGATAGTTGTTACAGGAACGACGTGAACGTTTCGTGCCTTAAGGTAATACTCGTGCCATTGATAAAAGAAACCAGAGAAGTAGTGAATAGGTCTTTATTTCGATCTTCGCGCAGTCACAGTGGAGTGTGGGATTATCTATTCAGACAAACAAAGGCTCTCAACATTCAATATAAGATAATAGGGAATATTACGCTTATACAAAATAAGGAAGTGAATGAATGCTTGAACAATACTGTTTTGGCATATGCTTGGTTGTTTCGGTTCAACTCTTAACCAATCAACCTAAGCTGTCACATTAGCTTCCCCCTAGAATCGACTTCCGTAGGAACGTCGGTTCGATTAGCCTATCTATCGAAAACACCTTAGTTCTATTTCTCATGCCAAGGGAAAATTATCAACTCGCTCACTGTTTGACTTACAATCAGTGACGATTGACGCTGTCAACGATAGTCCATGGACGTCTCTTCATTTACTAGCTTGTCATCTTATTTTGTAGCATGTGATTTCTTCTACAACTATCGCTGACGGTTTGCTGCGTGCTTTCAAGAGAAAGTGTGAGAATGTGGAACAAGAATATCTGAGGAAGTGCCGCGAGCGGGCTACCAAACACCATGTTGGTGAGGTACGATTTTTCCATGCTCAGACCGGCTATCAGGTGTTTTCTCACCTGCCTCTTGAGTCTCAATTTTAGTTTTATTTGCAGCTTGAAGTGTAATTGATGATGTTTCTCGACTAATCTCAGTTTTATTTTGAGGGATGATGCTAAGAGCAGCGCCAGTATCCACCAAGAAATTCAAGCCAGAGTTTCTGTCTCTAACATAAAACGAGCGACTGTTTAGGCGCCCCTCCTCAGTCGTCGCGACCTGGGGAGGGGTTACTCGTTTCCTGCTGTTCTAGAATTATGCTTAGGCCAGGCGCATGGTTGCATGCACTTGGTTGAGTTGACACCAAACTTCCAGTGGTACCAACAAAACTGCCCAGATTGTCTGGAGATTTGTGACCTGTTTTGTGACTTGGATCGTGGTCGTTGTGGTGACCTGCTCCTGTTTCTTTGACTCATTTGCATTCTGGTGACAACCTCAGTGAGACTCTTAACACTCGCAATGAGTCCTTCTATGACGGGTTCTTTTGGTGATTCTACTTTTTGTGTGTGATTTATTGTGCCTGATCCAGTTGGAGGACCTCTTTTAAAGATGGAGACAACTATCGACTCATTTCATGACGTTGGTGCACTCTCTAGCGCCCAGCCAGGACATACGGAACCTGTGCCTACTGGAAGAGAACGATTATTTGATCGCGACGGTAACGAAGCCTGGGCGCGATGTCTGCTTGGAAAGGGGATTGTTTGTTATGTCTATAACTAACCAATCAAGTCGTTGTTTAGGCACCTACCACGTTGATCTGGTTTGATGTATCTGTAGACTATCCCTGTCGCATGTGACCTACCAACTGAAAGACATTATAATCCTATTATGTTAATGTGACTCATAAGTTTATTAATTTCGACAAGTCACGCAATACTGGTCGGTATGTTTTTTCATTTCACTTAATGACTGTAATTTCGTTAATTATTTTACTAATCTAATTGTTTTAACATTCACATACAGATAAGGTTTAAAGCCAAGCTGTCCATGTTCTGACTATAGCTTTCACAAGGACTTCCTCAACAGGTAACGTCAGACTTATTACTTTTTGCCGACGACGTGAAACTTTGGAGAGAGATACGCAACCAAGACGATATACAGGCACTTCAAGAGGATCTGACTCGACTTCAAAGTTGGGCAGACGATAACGGACTTACCTTTAACACTTCAAAGTGTAAAGTAGTCCATCTGCGACATGTTGCAAACTACAGTTACAACTTAGGAAACTCCTCTCTAGTAGTATCCCAAGTCGAAAAAGATTTAGGAGTCCTGGTGCCCCATGACTTAAAGTCTTACGCTAACTGTGACAAAAATGCCTTCCGAGCAAACCTTGCACTGGTAACGTTGAGGCGCATTTTTGGCCAGTTTGACGGAAGAACTTTCCACACAATCTTCAATAGTTTCATCCGTCCCCATTTAGAGTACGGAAACATAGTACTACCCCCGTCACTCCAAAAGGACAAGGTCACTTTGGAGCGTATCCAACGGCGAGCCACGAAATCAGTTCGAGGACTCAAATCTAAGCCTTACGAAGAACGCCTCCGTTCACTAGACCTTTACCCACTAGAATATAGGCGTCTTAGAAGTGATTTATTAATGGCTTATAGTATTCTTAACACTTCTGGACATCCTCTTAAACACCTACTTAAGCTTAGTTCGAACAATAACCTAAGGGGTAACACCCAGAAACTGGAAACACAACATAGCAAGACGGAATGTAGACACAACTTCTACTCCTTAAGAGTTGTCAAAAGCTGGAACTCGCTGCCGGCCGAGCTAGTCCAAGCGACTTCTCAGGAGTCCTTCAAGAGGCAACTTGACCTATTCTTAAGGACCAAGGACAGCATCGCACTATGATTTACCAATTTCTTTTCCTCTTTTATTGTTAACATACCTAGGTTCCTGCCTGGAGGATTTGGTGATCCCCTGCTACTAGACACGGAAGCCTGTTAAGCGAAAGCTTCTTCTATTCCGTCCACAACCATTTGAACCATTTGATCGACAGTATCGCGTTTACGGTTCCAGTAGTATAACTGTAGGACAAATTAAATCCTACACGGTCATAAAGATACTGATACATAATCAGTGAAGAACATTGAGTCAACCACTCTCCAGACACACAGTGACTTAGAGGTTATTCCTAGCCATAATCTAAAAACTATTTCTTACTACCTTGCAATAATCTCAAAAGCTGAATGACCGTATGATCAATACGTGGAGCCCTTAACCATGTCGATGCTAAAAGCTTTTTGACCTTTTATGCAGCATCCGTTCGTCCTAAAATCCGATGTGAAACACAAGCACTTGATCCTTGCTTGAAAGAAAGTAGTAAGCTGTCGGAAAAGGTTCAAAGATCTACACCTACGCTGATTATTGGAATCGCAATCTCTTGTATAATGAGAGTCTGGGTGAGCTTAACCTATCTCTTTTGTCACAGTGAAAGATCATAGGTCATTAAAACACAGCTGACAAATTATTTGATGAATAATTCTTACTTGATACATCTTCATTTTTGTCTTTCAAAACTGAGAATTTCCACAAGCCCAGACCAAATTACTGGTCGGATGACAGTTGACTTTCCCATAAAATCAACAACGAATAGAACTCATAAACCCGATATGTGATTGCAGCTCCATCTGCTGATGCACTGAAAAGATAGTTGGATCAGCCAAAAACCCACTTTTGCGTGGACAAACACAAACCACCCAACCTTTTATACTTTCCAAACTGAAACTAACTATTATTACTTGAATCGTTCTGCCATTCAGTTTCAGAAAAAAATGATGAGAATCCTTGTCTACCACCATCAGAAATGCTGTGTAACCATCTAGGGGCAGACCTCAGAGTTTGATGTTTCAAGTTTCAATTGCCTATCCTTGTGTTCTCGCAGGGCGCACATTACATCCAAATGCGTTACCATAGCTGGTGTTATTAGGGATGGAGTCAACTTCCAGAGTACTCAGAAGTCAGCTTGTCTCAAATTTCAATAATATTTTTGTTTGTTCACGCCCGATTGCTTCTTTTTGAGCATGCCATGCAATTTGAGACCGGAGTTTGTGCATGTGAAAAGCATACCGTTGTGTCTCCTAAAGAGGAGGCGAATTATGAATGTGGAGTCAGTCAGTTTCCATCATCATCTTCGACAGATAAAAATCCACCTCCCATTCCACCAAAAGCTTTTAAACAAATCCCCCCTCTTCCTCCAAAACACACATCTCGTCCACTTCGACAAATAAAACATAGATGTATAAAATGTGAACCAATTATCAACTTGGAAAACCCAAATTTTTCGCACATTGGTCGCTTTCCAGACGTTTGTGCGGTATGCAGGCGAAACGGTTTGCATCCACACTCTACATGTGACGTTGATTCAATCGATAAACCTCAGAAACATCCAATCGACTCTTTACCGGATCACGAGGATGTAAACTACAAAAAATGTCTTGAATGCCCTCAAACACCTAACAGTAACAGTATGAAGTTCCAGTACTCGTCGCAGCAAAAGAGTGAAACAAGTAGATCAGGTAAAATTTCATCTGACGGGAATGGTAATTCCTGTTTGTTTACGTTCGATAAAAATATTTCTAATGCAAAAATCACACAGCCATCCATTTGCAAACGGTTCGCAAAACGACATATCTGTCAGGGAGTCTTGAAACACCAAGAAGTTAATTTATGCGAGCTCGGAAGGGATTCGAGCTCAACATCTGACTTACCAGCATCAAACTGTTCCTGCTCTGCAAAAATATGGGGTCCTAATGGTGGTAATAAACTAGACTCTAGCTATGCATCGAACCAAGGATGCTTTTCCTCAGAATGTCGTGGTCTCAATTTAATTTCAGATCATTCTGCTAGCCGGAAGATTTCTCGGTATCACCAGGAGCAAGTTGATACAAACAAAACAAGGTGCGGCAGTTTACAATGGATATCTGACACTTTCCAACGTATATTTCATGCTTCAAAGAGCTTCAAATCTCCTAAAACAAATTTTCCCCACCCACCAGATGATTCCGTTGTAAATGTAAAAAATTTACCTCATCTAAATGAAGATAGATTTTGTAGGCGACTGAAACCACTTGTTCATAAAAGGGATCGCGAATGGAAGACGGATATTTTCGATCAGAAGTTTGGGGGTCGTTTCGTACAACAAAAACGTTCTTTCAGCTATAATAGTTCTTTTATTGAAGGAGTCAGATTTAGTTCATATAATCAGAATGGCTGTGAATCTAATGCAACTCTGAATCCCCGTGTTGACCATCATTCACTTCCACCGAGATCAGCAAACAGTCGGAGCTCCATTATTAAGTGTAGGAATTCGCTTTTCAGTCCAGATACAACAAAAAGACATTTTGAGCGCCTTGATAGTATAAGCCCTTCAAACGGTCGATTGAAACAGGTACATGTATCCAAAACTATAGGAGCTTCCCAGTCCAGATACCAGACTCCAAATCATCCAAATATGTGTATAAACCATAAAAGACCAGAGTCTGCCCTCGCAATGATTTGTGCTTGTTCCCCCTATGTATCCGGTCACGTGAACGTAAGTATTTATCTCCATATTTTGGCTTTTTTCATGAACGGTTCTTATAGTCCACCAAAGAGAGTATTTAATATTCCGAGGAAAAAAATATGTATGGTTCGCGGTAGTTTATTCGCTGGTATTTTGTAGCAGTCATTTCACTGCTGAAAATGTTTTTAAGTGTTAGTGTAACTTTTGTGAAGTATGAGTTTATGAGCCTAGTTGTCGGTCATACTGTGAGGGTTACTAATACTGCCCGGATCCACGAACCTTGGTAGCTAGGTAGTAGTTGGGATCTTTGACCTGGTTCGAGGATAATCACTAAGTTCCTGCTACTCTTCCGTGCTACTACAAGCAACTTACTCTGAATTGACTTCAAATTTACCTGGAGTCTGACAAAAACTCGGACTCATTTTCTGTTCAGTTTTTCCTTCGCTCTACAGTCTAGAATTAAATTAGCCACGTGTTACGTCTCTAAGACCCCAACCACGGAGTCGTGAAGGACCAACAGAAGCTAGCACTTTGCAGCTTTCTTTCATACCACGACACCATGTCATATACTGACCACCTCTCCGCTTCTTCCAACTAGTCCCAGCGTCGGCAAATAATGCACGACGTGGAGTTCTCTGGGACGACATTCGTAGAACATGTCCAAGCCACCAAAGTCGATGTTTCAAGATAATGACACCAAACGAATCAGCGTTGCTGTGCCCGAACATTGTGTGTTCAGATATAGAGACGATACTTCACACAAATCAAATAAAATGACAATTAGTACTGGGAAGGTATTATATTACCAGTCTCAGTCATGGTTTGAATGTATTTGATCTATTTGACCACAAATCCGGTAACTTCTTTACGCTCGACAATATGATTTATTACTATTAATTAGTTTTCAGATGGTTTCAGATAGTATCCAGCAATAATAGCGCTACCAACCTTTATTTCGCCTAGTGTTATGTAAATTAACAGTGGATGCAGGTGTCTACAGAGTACTAGATAATCACACATTTAACATCAGAAAAATCTAAGAATCAGTCATCAGCAGTCTAGGTACTTCACACAATTGTCGAATTACTAGTTTGGTATGGATAGATGTCATAATAAGTAGTAAATTGACACGTGGTTGCACACAAACCTTGGTAAATAGATTTGAGTTGCAATCTATGTGCTTAACTTCAAGTTCTTCGGTCACAAATCTGTTTAAAGTACTTGATATCCTCAACTTTCTGCACAATACATTAAAGTATATGTAAATTGCCTGTTTTAGCCACTTCCAAGTAACAATTCAAACATATGACCTTTTAACGATTTATGAATAATTGGGAAAATTTGAAAATTATTTGTCATAAAAAGCGTTTTTAATCCTGACTAGGACTAACATGGCAAATTCTATTTCTCACTCCAAATCGTTGCTGCTACTTTTCTATGATGGTTTGGTTTAGCTATCCTAATAACCCAGTCGAAATATATTTTCTGGAACATTTCAGGAAACGTGATCAATTCTTTGCTGATGGCTAAACCAACTATTTAATTTAGTAGTCTCCCCTGTACTGCTCAGTATGTTGGTGGCAATCCTGATTCAATAGTTTAGGGACCTATTATTGTTGTCTCAGTAAATTTAGTTCACAGTTTAGTGTGTAAATATCGATAGTTACCGAGTTACATGTACTAATATCAGGTACACTTAGTATGTGATCATTAGTATTATCTTTAATAACGTGTCCGATAGTCAAGCCTCTTAATTACATTTGTGTTACATCTTTTTTACTACACGCATCTCTTTTCTTCGAGGCTATTAATCACTCAACTGTGTTTTTCTCTACCAATAACAGCCCCTTGATTCTACTAGAGAATGCTTTTCTTGTATGGGAAATCATTCATCATCTACAAAAGTTCCAGCTTGTGGCTGTCCCAACCGCAAAAACCATAGGTGTTGGTTAAACAGTTCTAATTGTTCGGGTATATCGAAACCCCACAGCGGGAAAGAACAAAACAACGATGAAGTTACTACTCCTCAGTTCAATGAGGGGATTCTTCCATTAAACCCTGATGTCTTACTGGTTAAAGAACATGAAAATAATTCCAACTGTGATACTACGAATTCAATTACTTCTCACCTTCCCTGTGAGATTCCTGTCGATTCCAACAAAAAGGTCTTAAAATGCACTGAAGGTATCGAATTTGGGGCACATCCAACTACTATAATTGACAAGAACGGTCAAATTCATCACGTCCATCACATACACCATGTCCATCATGTTCACCACCACCATCATCACCACGAATGTGCAGACGGTGTCTCCAATGATATTGCATCCTGTCCTCTTAGTCCAGTTACCAGTCCAGTTGTCTGTGACAGACAACGGCCACCGACAACAATTGCATCTGCCTTGGAAACGTGCACCGTAGAGGAAGCAATAGTCAGTTCTCCATCTTCCTGTCAGAATCAGCAGGTTGGCGTTGCGGAACAAGTTGTGAGTAAATTTGTAGTAATCATCTGTTCATTGAAAATTATTTTTCTGTAAACGTCTTCCATGGAGTCATCCTCGTAAAGTTGGAATTAATTTTATTATCTCTTTCCTTCTGAAAGTTAAATATATGTATATTTCATAAAACAGTTCCTGATGTATGTATATTAAATGAATTTTAAAACATTTAGTTCGCTGTGTAACAATTTATTAGTAGATTATTGAAGCTCAGATATTTACTTCGATATTAGTTTAGTAGTAAAAACTAAAAATTAGTCTAAATTTGAGGATGTGCACGTTGATAACTGATTAGAAGAGTTAACATCAAGGATTGTCATTGAGCTAGTCATCAAAAACCATGGAAAGCTGAACTTCTGGTTTGCTTGTACCTACGGTTTGCCAGATCGCTACGAGTCCTGACATATCTGGGTTCAGTTCTCTACTGGTCGTCGTGACTCCTTTGGAAGTTTCAAAATAAGGCGAAAAACCATCCAATCCTTCCTAGTTTTTTAGCTGAATCTAATAGACAATAAAATTGCCTCTGAGAAACTCCAAGTATATATATATATATATATATATATATATATAATTATTATTATTATTATTATTATTATTATTATTATTATTATTATTATTATTATTATTATTATTAGTAGTAGTAGTAGTAGTAGTAGTAGTAGTAGTAGTATCATTATTATTAGTCGATATAAAATAGTAGTACTAGTAGTTGTAAAAAAGCTAATACTGGTAATATTCACTATACGTGAATTGATCTCATCACTCACTCCAACCCCAGCCCTTACTCAGCTACCCAGGTACAAACTGTTTTACAACTATCTCCTCACTATCCAGGGTGAGTTCAAGACCAGAGTCCTGCCAGTCTTGTAAAAGTACTCTGCACTTGGAAGGCGCGAAGTACGTGCCATATCCACGGACACTAAGTCCCAACTGATTAAGTGCGAATTGCATGGTTTGAGTATCATCGCACAACAAGACAATATCATCCGCATACTCAAGGTCGAGAAGTCTTTCTCCAGGCAACAGATCCACACCGCAACTACCTACATCCATCAGAGCTGTTTCCAGAATGTCATCAATGGCAAAGTTGAAGAGGAATGGTGAGATTGGGCAACCCTGTCTAATCCCACTTTGAATGGAACAGTGGAAAGAGGTGGTTGTATGCCCTCAATCTGCCTGAGGTATTTGTATATAGGGATTTTAGGATGTTAGTAAACTCAGGCACATCCTTCTTCAATAGGCAATCCCAGAAAACAGTTCTGTCCAATGAGTTGAATGCAACCCTAATGTCAAGAAACACTACGATTGTTGGCCTTTGATAAGTATGGCGGTATTCTAGCATTTAGTGGAGGGTGGGGACATGATCAGTACATCATCGACCAGAACGAATACCAGCCCTTGAGGAGAAGGCTGAATATTCCATTTTCTCTGTAAGGCTTTATTGCTATATGCCAACTAGTTCATTTTCGAACAATCAGTTCTGATAAACGGTTTGGAAATGTTTTTCCCATAAATTCTATATAAACTCTCCCCCACTTTCGTACTTTTTGTTGTTTCGGTTCTTTGGAAAGTATTCTTTTTTCTTATTATCCATACTCCAATATGGGATTTAACTAGCAAATTGCAATGGCAAGGAAATAAAAGACGCGTCATAGTAACAGTTTCACACGTTAATGTCGTAAATTTATTATCCAGCTTTATTAATACAGTCAGGAACAATGTCTTGCGTACTGAAACCCTTTTTTCATATTAATAAATGGATACCTCTTCCAGTTTTCAATGCCTGTCAGTAAGCTAACGATACATTTGGTTTTTCATGATTCCAATAAATAATCAGTTTTGTATCTGAACACGTCATCAGACTGTTTATCTTGTTTCTTCCTTTTCAGTCTGTGAGCAGTTGTCATACCTATAACGCCTATGATGTTAGGGCGTCTGATAGTATAAGTACAGCGGCGCCCATCAGCTCAACACGCACATCTAGCCAAAGGTTGTCATCTACGTTACAAGATAGTCGATCGTCATTTCATCGAAGTATGTTAGAATTGAGAAAGGTAAGAAATTCTGATTTCTTCTATTTTTAACACATGAATATTTGTCACTAGAAGTCTCAACCAAATTTATCCGAGGAAGTAAAGCGCAATGCTAGGGATTTTGTGGCATGTTTCTCTTGTTCCGTTGATGTAGACGAAGTTCATTTCTTTCCACCTGTATATATATGGAGGAAGTCGATCTATAGTGAAGAGTTCCATTCAGTTGACTGTTCGACGATGATCCGTAGTGTCGCAACTTGATCTGTGAACGACCGATCCTTACGGGATCCAACCTGTTGGGCATCTACTGAGTCTTTCATCTGGTTCAGCATCACTGTTGAAAATCTTTCGTGGTACTGACAGTAGTGTGATTCCTGTGTTGTTTTGATATTTACTCATATCTCCTTTGTTTGGTATCTTGTAGAGGTATTGTTCTTTCCAGTCTGTCGGTGGCACTTGTTCTTCTTCACAAATCTTCCTCAATAGAACGTGGAGCATGTTTGTAGTTACTTCTATGCATGACCTTAACGCTTTGACTGGTATATTGTTGGGTCGTGCTGCTTTCCCACTGTTGATTTGTCTGATGGATATTGTAATTTGTTCGATCGTTGGTAGAATGAGATCGATAGGAAGATCTGTGTGTGTGTGTTGTTGTTTCGATATGCAGTGGATTCAATGGAGCTGGTGTATTTAAGAGTTGCTCGAAGTGTTCCACCCATCTATTGCTCTGTCATTGAATGTTGGTGATTGTTTTGCTTTCCTTGTGCTTGACCGATCTCTCTGCTTTGTCTTATTTCCCTGTTGGTTTCTTCGTTGTGTTATAAAGTTGTTTGATATTTGGTTCTGTTGCAGCTTTTTCCGTTGTCTCTGCTAGATCTTCCATACATTTGTGCTTTTCAGTTTTAGTGCTGTTGTTTACTTAGCTTTTTGCTTCTATGTACTCAACTTGTGCGTTGGCTTTCTCTGTTCTAATTCGGCTGTTGTTGATTGATGTCTTCTTGTTCTTGCTTTCTTGAATACTGCCATCGGTACCAATAGAGATCTATAGCTTATGGTGATGCTTCTTTGATCACAGAACCTCCGGATCGAATGGGTTTCCGTGATTCTGAGAACCGTCAAGTTGTATCTTCTCATTTCCATAGCTATTTGATTGGTCCTTTCGGTCTCCCACATTGTCTGAACATTCGATGTACGTGTATCAATTGTTGCTGTGGTTGTTAGAAGGGGCGTCGGTATTGTGACTTCCGAAGAATCTGGGCTTTCAACATGAGGCGTGGTAATTTTTCCTTGAATTCGAAGGGCAGAGTTTAATTGGTTTAAATTGTTTATTCTGGTTAGCGTTTTTCTTAGCAAGTTTGTTTTCTACGGGATGAGGTTTCTGACCCCATGCACCCTAAAATAGCTATATGCGGAGTTATTACAAACACTATCAACATACTAGCCGAATTATAAGAACATTTCAACTGTTCCCATCGACTACTCCCAAGAAGTACATAGAGGCATAGTGTGCTGTTAGTGTCAATGATCTGTTTTACAGTTGAAGGCACGTGTGAACACCGTATTTATAAACACTTGTTGATCAACGGTTAACTAAGATTTACGTCATATATTTATTGTTTGACTAGAAAAAAATTTCATCTGCACATCCGAGAGTTACGACTATAAATAGTCACATTTTATCTACATCGTTCTCTACAACTGAATAATATCATTATACAGTAAACGTTCTTTAACTATTTCATCTAAGACATTATTCACTATACTTTAGACAAAATTATACTCTTTTAAATCTGCATTATATAGTTCTCATACATATTTTAGTACTATATTACTAGTTACTTAATTGTAAATAATGAATAAAAACCATTAAACAATTTAAATTCTTTCAATGTTTGAGATCATGAGTCAATTGAAACTAGACCACCATGGAAAACCTGAAAGCACTGAACGGCCGTTTCATCCTATTGTGGCACTTCTCAACAGTGCGCATCCACGATCTCGCCCCCTTCCCTCCACAAGATTCGAACCTAGGACCTATCAGTCTTGCGCACGCAAGCGCTTAACCACTAGACCCCATTGAATCGGCATCCAACGGTGTTAATTTCTAACTTCAATTAATTCTATACAAACTTGTATCAATGATTTAATGAAATCTTAATTGTAAATATTATTTCTCCTTTATCAAGTAATTTACTTGTCCAAATTTTAGTTTTATTCTATTTATCCCTATAGAGATTTATATTTGTATTATTTGTATTCTGTATGTACTAAACAATTTGATTATGACTATCATCATACTTGTATATTCTTGAACAAAAAGGGTATGAATATTATATGACTCATTATATGTGTGCTATATACAATTGTATGTATCATAATTATTTGTCTAAAAATGAACTATTTCACATATATCCTTTACTATAATAAATATTTATATAGGTCTGTCTATACATTCTTCATTAGAATAAATAGTCCCAAAATTAGAACAATCATAAACTTACTATGAATGTAACAACTATTTTACATTTTTCTAATTAATATTTCATCAGTTCCTTTCTTTTTTTTTTATGTGTGTCCATGATTTTCTCTACTAGTTTGCTTTTTATATTACCCTTATATCGTTTCAATATTGTTTGGGTTTATTTTGTTGTTGAAGATCTACTAATTGAATAAAGTTATTTATCCTCTTATCGCTATAGCAAATGAAAATTATACATATATGTATAGTGACAATGTTGACTAGTGTTGGGGGTGGTTGGAAGAAAGTTAGGAGCGGTCTAATTAAAACGTAGCATTACTCCTTGAATTCACTAACTTCTAGTCTGAGCCATGTTAGTAGATTTTTATTTATTTATTTTAACACATAGATATTGGTACAAGGAGGCACCAAATACAAATGCACCACAGATCTCATTTGATATGTGTGAGGGCTGTGATACTGCCCGGGTGTCCAAACGGAAGCAGGTGGTTTTCTTAGGGGGCCACACCCGGAGACTTCGACCTAAAGGTCTAACCCACAAGGCAGTGAAGCATCGTTAGGAGATTCAGTCCCATGGTAGCCGGTGACCAACGATTGGTTCATACGCCATTTGTTCCTTCAGGATACTGCAGCCCATGTGCACTATTGTTTTGGAATCCGGTTAAAGCACCGGACATTCGCTTTTCGTCCTCTCAATTTCGCAAACAACACCCGCGCCACGAAAAGGTAGTGTGTAGGACTTCCCTGGCAGAGGCTGTATACTCGTGACCGTGTGAGAGCATTTCGAGAGAGAGGGTGGGCCCACCCCACTCTCAGCCATACCAGGGCATTTGGGGGCTACTTGGTTCGGATCCGTGTGACTATCGTAACCAATGGTTGAAGACTGTGGGTGACATGGCTCAGAATTGATCACAATGACGTAGGTGTATACACCTTCTGTCTTCCCTTAAACTGTGAGATTAAAATCGTTTCATATCTTTCTTTCTACGATGTAATTCTTTCTTTCTGTACTATATCCTTATATGCAATCTTTCTTTCATATATTACCACTACTGAATTAACTGATTTATGAATTCAGTGTTCATCTTGTTGTGTTAATGAGGTATGGCAAACTGGACTGGTGCACATATATGCCTGGTCCTACAGTGCAGTTGACTGACTGACTGATATGTATATAGATGTACTCCAAGTCATGTTGGCTATTGTGAAGTTTCTTTTTTGCTTTTCTCTACTACAGTCGATTTTAGCATATGTTTTCAGTTTCATGTTTGAATGGTATATAAGTAGTATTTATTCTCATTTTATAATTATGGCAATTGACAACCTTCCTGTGACAAAATGTCACTATATTTAATGTTTAATGATTTTTTTTTCAAGTCTAACGTGATAACTGTGTTGAGAGCATGAGGATTGGGATATTCTGACTAATGTCTATAAGCTCATCATTGAAATGATAGACGATTGTTCAAGTTGACTGACTTAAACTGTTACATGTTCTAATCAATGTAAAATTTTGTGCATTTAGACTAGTGAGCCCCGTCTGATCATCTAGTGACCAATCATGCTATGTCATGTAAATTATATATAAAGAGAAGGAAGTGGGGTGTCTAAAATCATATATCTCAAAAAATTACGAGGGTTTTTTATCGTTGGCTCTATAGGGGACTATGGGCTTATTGAATAAATATGTGCGAACCATGAATTTATAAAAATCAGTTTGTGTGCCTGGCTTTAGATTCTTGTGCCATAGACACACTTCTAATCTAGGGTATTGATTAAGTTGTACTTGTTTATTCTGCGTTCTTTTTTTGTGAATTTGCTGTTTATGATGTTTAAAAGTGTGACACCGATCTGATTCACCACTCTGCTAAATTTGTGTAAAACATCTAATTTAATTGAAAAAGCCTCTTTATTATCCAAACTTGGTGTTTTCTCCATGTATATATGGTTTTCGAGCTGGATGGTTTAGTTGCGAAGCTCTCATTGTTGTCCTAGTCATCACCAGCATCTTCATGGAATATTTACATACATGACTCGGTAAACTGTAGCGTCATATTTTGATACAGTTATTTTTTCTAAAAAAACGTTCCAATAATTTTTGTCCGTTGGGTTGATTTCAGTTAATTTTTATTTCACGATAACGTAGATACATCAACTCCATTTTTTTCTCATTTTCGGGTTCCAATATCCCTTCGTCTATACCTTTTCACCATCTTTTTAAGCCATATTTTCAGTGCTTAGTTTTCGTCATTATCACTGCTACTAAATTCTTTCGATTTTGCTTCTGTTTATCCTGTCATTCTCGTCTCATGATATTGTGGTCAAATAACTTAGGTTAGCGCTCATCTGTGCCAACTTCTATGTTGATAATGACCGATTGATTAGCTAATTTCATAGGTCAAGCTATAAGTTAACACCACTATTATGCATGTATATCGCTCATTGATTTATTATACCAACCGAAAATAAGTACCTCATGGATTCACGCCGTACTCTGCATCGACAGTTTTCATATGACCAAACTGAATCATAGTCTCTAGTATCTAATGCTACTATGATGCGTGCTACTTATGTTGACAGACATAAGTAGTATATAACGCCAATCAGAAGTGGAATGCCTGGCAGCAAAATATTGAATCGAAAAGAACAGGGATGTATACAAAGAGCAATTTTAATAACAGCAGAATTAAAAGAATCATGAGGCACGTAAAGGACAACTGGAGGAAGATGTGAAAATGATGTATGTGATGTATAGTGTTCATATTTTGTGAAAGTACTCTGTAATTTTGCATTAAACCATAAATTGGTTATCCCCACCTAGTCTTCATTTACTACACTACTATGTTTTATCTTTATACGACTCGTTAAACAAGTTGACGTTTGTGTGTTTGACTTTACTTTAGACGTTTTTCACTGAAAACTCGTGTGATACTGACCAGCTTTCTATCTCGAAATAGATGAAGTGGGATTAGAATCTAGATAAAGTTAGATTACATATTCTTTTTATTGAAAATTAGTTTCATTTAAAACTGGTTGGTTATAAATATGTGATAAAAAGTGTTTCTTAATAGAGTCGTGTGTATGATTTTGTAAATAAAGATTTCTCATGTATGGCTTATTCATACGAATTCCATGGAATTTAATTTTTTACTACAGTTGTAGACTTTCTTTTTGTTAGAGTTGTGACTTATTAGTGTAGATAGGAATATTAATATTATCTTCAACTTTTCAGAATAATTAAATATCTAATAATTCACCCATTAATATATAAGTCAACATTCTTTTTACTGCTGTTGAGTTTTATATGCTTGGGACATTGTTTAAGTATGTTTTAGACCAAAAACATTTTTTAATTTTGTTCATTTAACAGATGGGCTGGTATTGGGGTCCACTAAGTTTCCAAGATGCTCAATTTTTACTGGCTAAACGACCAGACGGTAGCTTTTTAGTTCGTGATAGTGGACATGACACACATATTTTAAGTTTAAGTTTTCGTGTACGTGGTGAAACTTATCATACAAGAATCGAGCATAATCAAGGTAGGTTTCCTTTTTTTTCACTGATTTCAGTTATTCTGTTTATTCATATTTATATTTCATATGTATTATGATCATAGGTCACATTCTATAAACTATTAGAAATTACTGTTAAATAATACTGTAACTTGAATAAAGCTCTATTTTTTAGTGTTACATTCACACTATTATTTATTAAAGGAAACTTATTTGTTAATTTTGATTTGAATAACTTTTCAGTCATAAGCTTTCTATTTCCTCGTTTGTGTACAGTGAGTGAATGTATAGAAACCGAACGCTCATTCATTATACAAAATCATTTGGTACCGCTTTATTTCTTTCCTATAACAATGAAACACAGTATTCGAGATGATGAGACATACATTTGTTGATAATATTTAGTCGTAGATATTTTCGACGTATTACTGGTGCACAGTGTAAAATACTAGTTGAAAACGAAAAATCAATCGATAAGGCTATAGACTTTCACCAACTGAAAGATGTTTAAGCAATGACTTATAAACGCGCCTAGATAGTTCTTATCATTCGATTGTTCTTACTAACACATAAGCAGAATGATAACGTAGTGATGATGGTATTAACCTATACAGTCATTGATCATTGCACCAAGCCATGTCACAATATAATTGAAACTCTCGATCGGCAGTTCCTTCACGATAATCTTCATTTCTATCAGTAGAGACTTTAGTTGACATGGTTTAAGATCAATAATTTCAGTGTATGTAGAAATTCTCTCTTTATCATCCTAGAAATACTGAGTTCTAATATTCATATTTGCATTTCCTTGGCTTCATTTTTATTTCTTTTTTTAAGGATGATATCTTTTATGTTTAATTTGCTAATTTCATTGGTATTATTACCATTATAATCCCTGTTTCGTTCTATTAAATTAACTTGCGCCAACTTGGCTCGATTAACATTAGTGCCTAGATGGATTGTAATAGATTATTTTTGAGAGTTTTTTTTAATTAACTGACTACTGTTTGATCAGTCATCGAAACTATCAGACCGTTTGTTGTGCATACCATTTTTATTTAATTTTGTCATAGACATTCTTTTAGAGATAACTTTCATCGTATGACTTTTCCAGAATTGATCGTTTACCAGAGAATTCACTTGTTGACTTAGAATATACAGATCATATAGTTCTGTTTGGTGAAGACGCTGACAAAATGCAAAGTCTTCTGACCACCTTAAGCAACAATGAAAGCATGTTTGCGATGCGGTTCTCACCCTCCGAATGCAAAATGGTTCTTCATGATTGGCCTACGTTATAGCCCGAATGAGTGATACGAGGTGAAGTAGTTGAACGCATCGACCGCTTCTTTTATCTTGGAAGTCTCATTAGTCCTGATGGTCTGGTGACGACATCTCGTCACGGATTCAATAGGCTCAAGTGGCTTGTGCCAAATTGCTTCACTTGTGGCGTGGGCGAGATATCCATCTTTCAGCCAAAGGGCGGATTTACTGAGCAACAGTTCTCTCCGTTCTGCTTTATGGATGTGAAATATGGTCGTTACGAGTAGAGGATATTCGTAGATTACTGGTGTTCTATCATATATGTCCAAGAAGCATCACTCGTGTATTTTGGGACCGCAGAGCAGACAATACCTGGTTTAGAAATAGAATATTAGGTAAAGATGAGGAATTGATTGATGAGGTAGTAAATCTTCATCAACTGAGGTGGTTTGGATATGTGTTATTTATTTATTTTAACGCATAGATATTGGTACAAGGAGGCATCAAATACATATGCGCCACACAGATCTCATTTGATATGTGTGAGGGCTGTGATACTGCCCGGGTGCCCAAACCGAAGCAGGTGGTTTTCTTAGGGGGCCACATCCGGAGCCTTCGACCTGAAGGTCTGATCCACAAGGCAGTGGAGAATCGTAAGGAGACGCAGTCCCATGGTAGCCGGTGACCAACGATTGGTTCATACGCCATTTGTTCCTTCAGGATACTGCAGCCCATGTGCACCATTGGTTTGGAATCAGGGTTCTCTAGCTCCCCTAGGTGGACCCTTCATGTCCGCCAACCCGGTTAAAGCGCCGGACGTTCGCTTTTCGTCCTCTCAATATCGTACACTACAGGAATATCACGAGAAGGTAGTGAGTAGGACTTCCCTGGCAGAGGCTTTTCACGCGTGGCCATGTGAGAGCGGACTCTCCTTACTCTTGGCCGTACCAGGGCATTTGGGGGCTATATGGTATAGATCACCTGGTTGTGGTTCGCGTGATTATCATAACCAGTGGCTAGGTATTTTAAACGACATGGTTCAGAATTGTTTGGATTGTTTCAGGCGTATCCATTGTTTGTCTTTCCACAAATTCTAAGATCTTAAATTCATCATAACGTTTTTTGTTCCTATTTCACTAATTTATAATTTCTGGAATCGTACCTTCAATCCATAATTTTTTCCATCACCACTCATACTGTAACTATTTCTAATATTCTCGGATTCGGCCTGACAATTTCATTTCTTTTTACTAATAGAGTATGGCAACCTGAACCGATGTACATACGTATCAGGTTCTATGTTGTGACTGACTGACTGACAAGCCAAAATTCCAGTCGTTTTAAATTATTTCAGAAATTCTATGCGTTTATCTTTTACTACTATTACTACTACTAACTCACATTATCTATTTATCGAATATGATTATTTTATTTTATTAATAATATTACTATTTTTTCACAAGACAGCAAATACAGGTTTATATTGTTGATTTTTTTTGTTTGATTAAAAACACAGAAAAAGGTATACATATATGTATATTGAAAATATTGATTCATAACTAAACCACACTCTAGTTTTACACTTACATACACAAAGCGCACATGTAGCACATACAATGTATATATATATATATATATATATATATATATATATATATATATATATATACATGTACATACGTAGACTACCTAATTTAATATCTTTACTTTGTTTGCTAGTACTTGGATTTGGCTGTAAGCCAAATTATTTTATGCGCTCATTATTATGATTATGATTACTGTTACTATTATTATTATTATTATTATTATTATTACTCCGATTGTACGTCTGTCTTACAGGATGGTATGATTGAACTGGTGTATCTGCTATATATATTCGAGTCAAATATGCATAGAATATTCACTTGTTGATTATTAATTATATTCAATCCAGATGTAATAACATATCGAATTTCCTACTCCTTCGTTATAAACCCAGTTTTAACTTGCTACTAATGTGTACTTGAGTGCTTGTTTTCAATAAGTGTGTATAATTTCGAAGGTAATATTATCTTAAACTGTTATCATGATTCAGAAGTCACTGATGAATAGCTGTTTCAGTCTAGTTTGAAATTCTACGATTCAGAAAAAATATCTGGCAAACCATATATCAGAGTAGTGAAAGTAGTACATGCATTAGTAATAGTAGTAGTATTAAACAAAGGTTTTGTGAGGAAAAAGTGAATTCATGTGATGAAAAAAGCAGTATAAGATAATTTTAAATTTCAGGATTTAAGAGAACATAAAGAGTGAATAAATTTGGACTATTGTAACAGACTCTGAACCACAGTAATCTCTCGGTTGCCAATCAGGTTGATAGTCTGCATCTACCTACGTGACTCAGTCCAACTATTAACGACTTCACCGACTGTTGTTACTATGAGTATTGGAAATAAATGTAATTTCATAAGTTTATGTCGAATACTGTATGTCATACCATTAGTAGAGAACATTGAATGAAAACATTTTGGTTAAGTACATAATATTGATTTAGTTCTGTAATTTCTCAACTGACTATTAAAGAAAAACAAGAAACCGATTCCAGTTAGATATTAACATCGAATTAATACATTGAATTTTGAATACTTATGTTAATAAACTTGAATACAATCTTTGGCGAGACTATAATTTATGGACGAACCAATCACATTTACGATAACAAGTCTTAGAAATTCATCCACCCATTTGGCTAAATAGAGTCTCGGAATTATAGCTGATGTCAGTTCGTGATGAAAAACATAAATCTAATTCCTAACCCTAACCATCAACTGTAAATCATAACCCTTATTCTTCAAACTGCTTTATACTTCTCATTTAGCCCTAGTAAGTAGGTAGACACTCTCAAGGTCATCTTAGCGTCGCTCAAAATTCGTCCATAAATTATAATCTTACCCAGTCTTTATATTATGTAGTAAACAAATAAATGATAAGTAGATAAATTTTCATACTTTTCTAAAAGTAAATCATTTATTTCGTTGAATAATTCTTTAATAGGTAGATTTAGTTTTTGGTCTCAACCACAATCACATAGTGCAAATACTATGGTGGAGTTTATTGAAAAAGCCGTTGCACATTCAGTCAATGGTCAATTTCATTATTTCCTACAAACTAGCGCCCATGGTCAACCACCTGTAGAGGTGCCGTTATTATATCCACTATCCCGGTTTCAAGTAAGTCATATTAATGATGTATTTATGACATTGTGTTAGTATTTGTATTTGTGATGACTTATTTATGAGGCCTGGGTGCATGTTTTTGGCTTCAAGCCACAATTTTAGGACAAGTAATTTTACTACTAACCAAGCTGTCCAACTAAGTGGAGCTAGGTTTTAACCTGTTGATTGAAAGTCGACTACTTTTAATCACTAATCAATTGATCTACATTGTTTATAGTTGTATTATTTCATTAATTGTTTAACATACAGATTTTGGTCGTTTGAGGATAAATAGTTCATGTCGACATCTTTTTTATAGTATAGTATGCTTTGTTTGCAGATCATTTAGCTTAATCGACTTTTCTATCCAACGATTATAAATAAATAATTATACTAATTTCACTCAGCTTTACCAATAGGGATAACATAAATTATTATCACTAATGATAAATATTCGAATACTAAGTCAGTCAGTCCAGTCAGCTACAACGTAGGACCAGGCACATATGTGCATCGGTCCAGGTTGCCATACCTCATTAGCACAGCAAGATGAACAGCGGATTCATAGGAGTGGTTAAGTCAAAGGTGGTAGTATATAAAAGAAAGATTGCAATAAGGATATAGTACAGGAAGGAAGAATTCGTTCGTAGAAAGAAAGATATGAAGCGATTTCAATCTCTTAGTTTAAGGGAAGACAGGGCGTGTATACACCGACGCCATTGTGATCGATTCTGAGCCATGTCACCAAGAGTCTCCAACCATTGGTTACGAAAGTCACGCGGACCCCAACCAAGTAGTCTGCATCTACCAACATGGCTCAGACTAGAAGTTAGTGACTTCAGGCACTGATGCCACGTTTCGAATACTAAAGATTTAGACAAAATTATATTGAGTGTTTCATGTTAAATAGTGATTGGAATATTTGATACCAGATCCAATAATATAAGTCTACCTGTATTATTGAGATTGTTGCCGACATCTTGCCAGAAGCTGTTTACATGAATCAATCACTGGATTGTAAACAGTATCATATTGTTTATTCATTTGTACTGATTGCTAATTCTGTCAACCGAATTATAATACTGTTAATTCGTATAATTAATTGAAAATCGTCATGTAGGCGTTTCCTGCTATATTACTAAACGTTTCTAAACACACTACTTTAGCATTGATCAAAATACATCCCATTACAACATCTTAGAATAGAAGTATAGAACGTAGAATATGAAAGCTTAACACTATGAATTAATAAGTTGTTTACGTGAATGAGATTGTATACGTTTTGTAAATAGGTTTTTTTTCATGTCATTATTAGTAAAAGTTTCGATGCCAAATAACGTTTAATTCAGTTTTACCTTGACTATTAAACATATTAATTCGGTGTTTTCATAATTGATCATCATGTCCATAATAGGTTGTAAAATGATTGTACTTTTTATTCTACAAATTCATTCTTCTTGATTGATGTCTTCTGTGCTTAGTCTCTGCTGTAACTAATACTGTTACTACTTCTCCTTCTATCATATTTCATCTTGTTATTCTGATATGGTTTTACAAGTTGAACAGATACACATATATTTGCTAGGTTTTATGAATAACTAACTAACTGACTACATTAATTTGTTATTTTATTTCCTTATCATCGTTTTATCTAATTCAACTTTCAAGTTATTTTTTACATTTCTGGTTGATTTCTGAATATAATAGTTCTACTAATATGGGTTTTACTTTTCTTTGAAAGCTCTATCATCTTTGTTGTCTATAATTGATTTTACATTTTGATAATCAGATGATATTTCTGTCATTCGATTAATTCGTCTTAGATTATAATTCACAGTATTATTTATGCGGAGTAAATGTTTGTTTTCTCTGTATTTTTTCCTCTTATGTGAAATGTGATTATATTTACCTATTTTCGTCATAGCCAATATCACCGTCATCATAGCGGCCATACTTAGTAAGTATTTGTGCCAGGTTATCATATGACCTAAAATATACAAGTGAATTAGTTACTTTTGTTCAGTTTACATTTCACAAATCATTATATATATATATATATATATATATATATACTGTTTACCTAGATTGTTTGGTATTATACACAATTTAGCAAACAACTTTAATGGGTATATGAAACGCAAAATGTGTATGCGATAAAGTGCCTTCGTGGCCAGTAATGTTATGGATGAAAATTTTTCTCTTTACCCCTAGTAGATTTCCATCACATCGTGGTAAAATTAGTGACCCAAAATGTCACAGTCTCTACTAATACTTACTTTACTTATTTACTTTGCGTTTTCTTAGCTAGTTAGTTTCCTACGAAATAGAATCGCTAACCCCATGCCCAACCCTCCTACTTTATCCGGCTTCGTGCCCGTAGTAGCCCCAAAGGGGCTCCGCGCCGAGTTACTTACTTACTTACTTACTTACTTACTTACTTACTCACTTACTTACTTACTTACTTACTTACTTACTTACTTACTTACTTACTTACTTACTTACTTACTTACTTACTTACTTACTTACTTACTTACTTACTTACTTACTTACTTACTTACTTACTTACTTACTTACTTACTTACTTACTTACTTACTTACTTACTTACTTACTTACTTACTTACTTACTTACTTACTTACTTACTTACTTACTTACTTACTTACTTACTTACTTACTTACTTACTTACTTACTTACTTACTTACTTACTTACTTACTTACTTACTTACTTACTTACTTACTTACTTACTTACTTACTTACTTACTTACTTACTTACTTACTTACTTACTTACTTACTTACTTACTTACTTACTTACTTACTTACTTACTTACTTACTTACTTACTTACTTACTTACTTACTTACTTACTTACTTACTTACTTACTTACTTACTTACTTACTTACTTACTTACTTACTTACTTACTTACTTACTTACTTACTTACTTACTTACTTACTTACTTACTTACTTACTTACTTACTTACTTACTTACTTACTTACTTACTTACTTACTTACTTACTTACTTACTTACTTACTTACTTACTTACTTACTTACTTACTTACTTACTTACTTACTTACTTACTTACTTACTTACTTACTTACTTACTTACTTACTTACTTACTTACTTACTTACTTACTTACTTACTTACTTACTTACTTACTTACTTACTTACTTACTTACTTACTTACTTACTTACTTACTTACTTACTTACTTACTTACTTACTTACTTACTTACTTACTTACTTACTTACTTACTTACTTACTTACTTACTTACTTACTTACTTACTTACTTACTTACTTACTTACTTACTTACTTACTTACTTACTTACTTACTTACTTACTTACTTACTTACTTACTTACTTACTTACTTACTTACTTACTTACTTACTTACTTACTTACTTACTTACTTACTTACTTACTTACTTACTTACTTACTTACTTACTTACTTACTTACTTACTTACTTACTTACTTACTTACTTACTTACTTACTTACTTACTTACTTACTTACTTACTTACTTACTTACTTACTTACTTACTTACTTACTTACTTACTTACTTACTTACTTACTTACTTACTTACTTACTTACTTACTTACTTACTTACTTACTTACTTACTTACTTACTTACTTACTTACTTACTTACTTACTTACTTACTTACTTACTTACTTACTTACTTACTTACTTACTTACTTACTTACTTACTTACTTACTTACTTACTTACTTACTTACTTACTTACTTACTTACTTACTTACTTACTTACTTACTTACTTACTTACTTACTTACTTACTTACTTACTTACTTACTTACTTACTTACTTACTTACTTACTTACTTACTTACTTACTTACTTACTTACTTACTTACTTACTTACTTACTTTGAAATGAACGTAGCGTCATCAAGGAACATTCACACACACATTGCATTAGGAACAATTCATTCAACCATGTTGACATTTTGATATTTTCACTTAATATTTGGTTTATTTGTTTGTATATACGTTTATATATGTTCCTTTATGTTTGGTATAAGAATATATGTATATGTGTATGAAACTTCACTTATGATACCCGTACACGACCATTCTGTTTGGCAAATGTTTAAATCATAAATACTTCATTTATCAATGCCATGTGATCAATACATTTTTGTATATATATGTATATATAATATGGGTTAACAAAAACATTGTGTCTAGCTTTCTATAAATATGTACGCAACATATATGTGCAAGCGTAGTAATAGTAATAATAGTCATAGTGTTTGGAGTAATAATCACAATGGTATATCACGTATCTGAATGTTATCATTCATAAAAAATAATGATAATGGCGAATAGGCGAATAATAATCATCAACATCATCATCACCATGACAATGGTGACGATACCAATATTTCTATTTGTATTGATTTTAACTTATGTAGAATTTCTTCATTGTCATCATACATTTATCAAACTAGAATCAATCAGGAATGTGTATATATCTATTTTCAATGTTGAATTTTGAAAGAAATTAAGTACAAACAACAGATATGGTTGTTTGCGTGTTTATACATGCCTTCCAGAAAAGATTGAATAATGCATTACTATTATTATTATTATTATTATTATTATTATTATTATTATTATCATTATTATTATTATTATTTATTCATGATTATTCTCTGACTATATGTTTTCTGTTCTTATTATTGTTACATAAATAAATATTTTGAAATTATCAACATGTGTACACTTATAATTTTGGCACATAGCTTTGTTCAAAGAATTGTGCTATGTGATTCTCTTTTCTTCTTTGGTACGTATGACACGGGTATGAATAATAATAATAATAGGAAATAATAATAATAATAATAATAATAATAATAATAATAATAATGAAGAATAAGCGTTGTAAACCGTCAACCATTTTTATCGCCTTTCTGCCTAAAAAAAATAATAACCATTATTAATATTTGACTATTGCTAAGGCTATGCTCAATGATTTTAGCGTTCACTAAG